TTTAACATGTGAACGTTCACTAATGGTATAGCATGGAACAAATATCTGAGACGGTGTTAAAGCCACAGATATTAAACTGTAGCATTTTTTTAACTGAAACCTCACGATGTCAAGATATATCCACAAAAACATCGCAGGGCAAGACAGAGAGTAATTTCGTGCAGAGCTGCACGAGTGCAGCTTGACCTCAAACATTCAATGATATCGTAATATTGTGCTATTTTTAGAAGTGTAGCGTGACTTAAAGCACGAACAAAAAGTTCATTCAATATTTTTTTGCGTAAACTAATCTGTATGTTATGGATTGCATACCGTCAAAACTTTGTTAACTGCAATCCAGGACCTGTAATAAGTATAATAACGTTTGGGAAAGAGTTAAAAAGGGCCATACAAGAATTTGAAAGGAGTGAATAACTAAATCCTAAATTGTAGTACATAGTCACGATTTCTACTAAATTTATTTATATACCGTTAGGAGTTAATCGCTTCAACCGTGTTTTTTAAATTTCACAAACTAAAGTTAGTGAAGGTAGAAGACGCTCTCGACATAGAAAAAATTGTCACCACTCCGATTAATTTATTCAGCAATTTAGAGATGACTTTAAAGTGGATGACCGAACATTCCTATTCTAACCTCTGCTTTTCTCATTCCTCAAAAGACAATGAAAATCGTGGGGACTGAATTTACATGCGTTCTCCTGCGATGAAACATAATCTTAGAACTTTTATGCAGCAGATTGATGTTTGTAATGAATTTGTTTGTTTGTTTCATGTGTCGTTCATCTGTTACGCCAGTAATGTGTAGTTGTGTTCTTTGTATACAAATCAGCTTAAAGTTTTTTCAGTATTATTCTAGTTCTAATGTGGAACGTGGTGTACTAAGGGAACTTTCATTTTTGACAGAGATGGCAGAAACGCAATCAGGTGCTGAGGATATTGTTGTGATTCCCGACTCCGAGAGCATACCATTGACGAAGGCATCACCTCCCGGCACACCCAGTGGCTTGGTGGAAGGCCATTCGAAATTCTTTGATCAACGCGATAGGGCCATGCAAGCAACTGAGCAAAGCGGTGGTTCCACAACTAGCCGCTCTCAAAAATCTGCAGGAGTCGCATTTTCGGGGGGAGGCATTCGATCTGCTGCGTTTTGTTCTGGTGCATTGCGTAGGATGTTGTTAAAAAATGTTCTTCCGGACTACTTGAGCTGTGTTTCCGGGGGAGGCTACACAGGGGCAGCATTTGTCGAATGGAAAGAATGGAAAAGGCGTAACCGGGATAATGGTGATGATAGCAAATGGCATGACGAATTCTTTGATACCATGCGACAAAACGCTGGCTACTTGTGCGACTGGCAATTCCCCTTTGTAGGTCTCTGGCATTCAGTGGTTTTTGTAGTCCTCTTGGTCACTGTTGTGTTCATATTGCCATGTGTCCTATGGTTGCCCTATGCATTTCCAATTGCCGTGGCAGTAGACGTGCTCTTTGGTAAAATCTTACGTCAGAATGCCACATGTCCCCCATCTGCACATGCTCTCACCGATCCCATGACCTCTCGGACTTCATCCCTAATGCTGATGCTCTATGAAAATTGCCACTCTCCCAGTAGACGCACGGCCCTTATTGTTACAACATTTATTTGTTCTCTCCTGTTCTACTTTCTTTCAAGGAAGAAACGTCTCCATAAATTTAAAGATATCTCGCGATTGTTCTCGATGATTAGTTTCATAGTATTTCTCTTTACTCTATTTCCATTGCTCATTCATGATTTGTGGCCATCAAATACATGGGTTCGAGCCTTCATAATTATAATCTGCATAGTGCTTCCATTCTTCATCCCAGTGATTCGTAACTACGCGAGTGTATTTCTTGTGTTTTACTGGTACATTCACAT